CAGCAGCAGGCGGTCCAAAATCGGAACCACAAGTAAGATGACCTGGGGGCAGAGGGAGGGAGGGAGGAGGCCTGTGAGGACACAGGTGGTGGGGAGTACCTGAACCAAGAAGTGGTGGTTTGTCAGCAGGTTGTGCTGTGGTACTCATCCTTGAGGGCGGTGGTGTTGGTAGTGGTGGGGTCTTTGATTTGAGAGAAGCTTTGTAGTTCTTTTACTTTACTATAAATGGTGGTGGTGACAGTTTATTTACTGTTTCCTGTTTTGTTTCTATCCCAGTTTGATAACAGTATTTCTTTTAAACAGTGCAAAGAAAAAGAAGATGGCTGACAAAATTCTACCTCAAAGGGTGAGTACTAGTTTTAGGTCTTGTTGAAGGTGTAGAATTTGAAAATAGAGATGGTCTGCTCTAGATCCCAGTTATATCTCTTTCTGTTTCTAAGATTCGTGAACTGGTACCAGAATCCCAGGCCTATATGGATCTCTTGGCTTTTGAAAGGAAACTGGACCAGACTATCATGCGGAAACGGCTAGATATCCAGGAGGCCTTGAAACGTCCCATCAAGGTAACACAGGAAAGCACTAGGCAGAGAGCCAAAGTCGAGGACTTGGTTGGGAACCTTCAGCCCTCTTAGGATGAGAAATCAAAGGCACAGCGCAGCTCTCCTTGGCATTTAAATTGCATCCCTCCCTTCCGCCTACAAAGGGAGAATTCCATTAGGAGCATAAGAACAGAACAGCAAAGGGGGAGGGGCTTTTGCTGTCTTTTGCTCCAGAAATATACCCTGTCCATGTTTTTGCTGTAACTGCTCTGCTACCTTGGGAACCTGGTACCTTCATGACTTTATCCATGGCATCTCAGTGTATGCATGTGTATTCAGGCCAGTGGCCTAGACTCTTCTAAATGGAATCTTCATCCACCCACCAGAGAGACTGGGTAGACAGTAAGCCACTCTATTAGGAATAATTTTGGGGTTTGGGGAGACCCTTGTCTTTAACATCAGACCACTGAAGCCCCACCATCATTCCTGTTTCTGCCTTCTTCAGCAAAAACGGAAGCTGCGAATTTTCATTTCTAACACTTTCAATCCGGCTAAGTCAGATGCCGAGGATGGGGAAGGGACGGTGGCTTCCTGGGAGCTTCGGGTAGAAGGACGGCTCCTGGAGGATGTGAGTTCAAGGTCCACTGTGGTCGGTGTCTAGGGTGGGAGCTGCTGGGGATGAGCAGTGTTGTCTGGTTGGCAGGAAGCCTGACTGGTGCTCACAGCTCCTATTGGGAGCAGCAGGGAGAGGGACGCTGTGTTCCCTGCACTGAAAGACAATGGTCTTTTGTGTCTGGCTCCGCAGCTTTGGCCCTCACTGCTCTCTCATGGAGAACCTTATTGTCCTGGGATCTGATTTGTTGTTTACCTTCTTCCTAGTGCTGCTGGCCATTGGAGGTAGCAGTATTTACAGATTATTTAGTTTTTTGTTCGTTTGTTTTTAATCAAGTGAGTTTGCACTTAGCATTTGAGGCCGTGTTTCCTCTCCGAGTCCTTGAGGTCCTTGCTGTGGCATCTCCATCTTCCCAACTTTTGTTGGAGACACCCCACAGTTTAAGTGGGACAGATTTCTCTGACAGGCTGTTTGTTGCTTCATGGGGAGCATCAGCTGTCAGGTGATAGCCCCCAAACTTCCCACCACAGCAGCTCCTTGGGGGAAGCTCACCTTTCTTTCATTCTCTTACTTTTCTGGCTGTCTATTTTTAGCTGCTCACAGGCAAGCTAATTTGAATGCGTTTTTGCAGAGAACTAGGCTCAGTGTCAGAGCCGCCTCCTTCTCTATATAGGTCCAGTTCATCCGCAGTGGTGTCATTCCATCCAAATAAAGCTGTTTTTGTTCTGTCCGCTTATTGCCTGTGATTCATTTCCCCGTTAGAGTCAGACTTTTCTTTGTTCAAACTCGCTTTGTTATGTGCATTGGTTTGGCTTAACTTGCCTTATTTTACTTGGGGGGAAGCAGTGGTTAAACAGTGACCTTGTATGTGTTATAGGTTGCTTCTTCAGGGTTCTGTTGCTACTGTGACTGGTGTAATATCTACAGATGCCTACTTTACACCTCCTGAGAGAGATTGAGAAGACTTTTTAGTTTTTTTTTTTTTTTTAGTTGCTGTTATGGATTCTTTTTTTATATATAGGACTTTGTCTTAGGGAATCTCTTCTAACCTTTAACTAACATGACTTTTTTTCTCTCTCTCCTTTAGTCTGCCTTATCCAAATATGATGCCACCAAACAAAAGAGGAAGTTCTCTTCCTTCTTTAAGTCCTTGGTGATTGAACTGGACAAAGACCTGTATGGGCCAGACAACCATCTGGTAGAAGTGAGTAATTCTGCCTTCCAAACTTTGACTCTATGACTGGAGGATGATGGACTTGGGAGCCAAGCTTGAATGTCTAGGGACAGGGAGGTTTAAAATAAAGGGTAACCCCAGGTGTGTAGTACCATTATTGCAGTTTGCACATTGACCTCCAGGTGGCACTGTTTAGTTTGGACCCCAGCATGCTTGCAATTGAACTTGTTTTGGTGTTAGTATTTTGGTTCTCTCCTTTGAAGGGAAATTCCGGTGGAGCCCTCTTGTATATGCCAGGCCACTTCTGCATCTTACTGGTTAATAATGGTGAGATGTGGTTTTGCACACAACATTCATACATTTTTCTAGTAGCAGTTGCTATAGTTAAAGGGCTTGACTAATAGGGCACACCAAGTGTGCTTAGTGCTTACCAAGGTTATCTTGATAGCTTTAGGACTTCCTTTTGGCCCCAGATCCATTTCAGTTCACCTTCCAAGTCACCAAAATCCTTTATTATAATGCCTGGCTGCACAGTGTTCTGAAAGCCATGCTAGTACTCTCCTTTGGGATACAGTGAAAGCCAGAATGACAGTGCAGTGCTCCGAGTGAACTTAACCTGCTCCTTTCTTTGCCAGTGTAGCTGCAGCCCCTTAACCTCAACCACTAAGAGACATGGGAAGGTCTTTACCATCTAATAAGGGAAGTAAGTCATAGAATTAATACAAATTTGTAAATATATTTAACTTAATTTTTATAGCAGTAGCATATAGTGGCTAAGAATGTGGACTGTAGAAACACACACCAGAGCTCAGATCACAGATTCAGCCCTTACTGGCTCTTTGACCTCATTGGGTTACTTCATTCTTCTAAGTGTTAGTTTTCTCATCTGTGGAATAGGTATAACTGTGCCTGTCTTGTATGGGTGCTTAGGGATTAAATGACATAATCTAGGTAAATGTCTCAGAATACTCTTGGCACATAGTAAGTACTCAGTAAATGATAGCTTTGTTTTACTACTATTCATGGAATTACGGTTATTACTGTTATCACTGGAAATTCAGGCTAATTTAAATATGGCCCAGGCAGTCAGAATTTAAAGGCACATCTACTCATATACAGATAATTCCAAAACTATATGCAATTTTTAAAAAATGCTCCATGCTATTGATCTCTCCCAATAGCACCAGTAATCAAAGTTGAATATTCATTCATTACAGAAGCTCTTCCTTCCCACCCCAGCTCTTCCTCTGGGAGAGCATCCCCTGACATCTTCCTCTCTCTAGTGGCACAGGACCGCCACTACCCAGGAGACTGATGGTTTCCAGGTGAAGCGGCCAGGAGACGTGAATGTACGGTGTACTGTCCTACTGATGCTGGACTACCAGGTACTGCATGGTGGTGTGAAGGGTCCAGCTTTCACAGCTATATCCCATTAGCAGTCTGGCTTGTCAGTTTAAATCTGTCATGAATAATTTACCACTTCAGTACAGGAATAGTCTTAGTCATCTCTGAGTCTCTGAGTGTCTCCTAATATCTTCCTTCCGGAGAAAGCCCTGCATTAATGTTTTTAATAGCTTGGCTGTGTGGCCACACCTAAGTACCCCAAAGTGCACATAGACCCAGCTCGTCAGGCTTAGCTCTTACACTTTGTTGGTTCTCTGCAGCCTCCCCAGTTTAAATTAGACCCTCGCCTGGCTCGGCTCCTAGGCATCCACACCCAGACTCGTCCAGTGATCATCCAAGCACTGTGGCAATATATTAAGACACACAAGCTCCAGGACCCCCATGAGCGGGAGTTTGTCATCTGTGATAAGTACCTCCAGCAGGTAAGTAAAGGACCCATTCTTTTCTTGAAACCCAAAGAGCACTAGTTATACTCAAAATGCCAGCTTCTTTTCTTGGAGCTCAGAGAGCACTAGTTATGCTCAAAATGCCAACTGCTAGCCACTTCTCTTTCCCGCAGATCTTTGAGTCTCAACGTATGAAGTTTTCAGAGATCCCTCAGCGGCTCCACGCACTGCTTATGCCGCCAGAGCCCATCATCATTAATCATGTCATCAGGTAAGCGTGTACATGGGAGGCCCTGCCGTGCTAAAGCCGGCTTGTACCAGCTTGCACAAGCCAATTGTCAGATGTTCAGGAATTTTGCAAGCAGGTTGTTCAAACAAGGTGGTTATTTAAAATTAAATTGTATAAACTTATAAATAAGTATTATGAAAGTGAGTAGTATGGTCTCCCGACTCACCAGTTCCTAGTTATTTTGTTACATTTTACTAGCATTTGTTTTGTGAAAATTATTTATGTCTCTCCTGTCTGGACATCTCTTCCCAGTTCCCTAATCAGCAATGTCACGTTGGTAACTTGAGATCAGCTATGTTGGGAATATGTCGGCCACAGAAATAGCAAATGCAACAAATCAGGGCACCCCCTCTTACCCCCATTCCCTTTTAGAAGGTCATTAGTTAGACATTTATTAGTTCATCCCCGATGGGAGGGGTCAGCAGCTTTCTTTTCTCTGGATGGTCGTCATTCCATTCTGAGACTCCAACTCTGTTACTTCTCTTCACTTTTTTGTTCAGAAGATGGGGAGCATCACTAGGCAGATATGGAGTAAAGAAAGGTACTTCCTCTTCAAAACAGCATGTCTCTGTAGTTGGGTATAGTCTCTTTGTCCTCCTTCCTTTACTCCATATTATTTCCAGTAAACACCTTCCTTTCTTTAGACCTTGAACCATCACTCACCCAATAGTAATTCCTGCAGTCTGTAATTTGGGTCAGTAGAAGCCTGTCTGTACTGTATTCCTATGCTAAACGTTAGGCCACTTTTTATTTCATTTTTTGTATGTCAGTGTATTTTACTTGAGTTCATTTTGGGGGTCAATTTTAGTTTAAAATCACTGTAGCCATGGTTTCCTCTGAGAAGGAAGGACATTTTACTGCATTTCTTTTGTACTTTTTAAATTTTTACCATTTTTTTTAAAGAACCAACTTTTAAGTCATATGATAGATCACACCCATTTATATATAGTTTGAAGAATTTGGACAGATGTATTACATCGTTGGAAAAGTCATGATACATTTTTGCATAGAAAAACATGTCGTGGGAACCAGCAGTTAGCGTAATGGCTATGTCGCTGGACTCCCACGTAGTCGACCGCGGTTCGTGTCCCGGACCCGGTGGCTTAAAACTCACGCCGGACGCGTGTGCGTGCGTGCCCAAGATCCCGAGAGGAGAATGGAGGAGAAGGGATTGCGGCGTGACCATCCCCCCTGGGGGGTGATTTCTCGCTTTCTGTCTCTATGTCTCTCTCTGTCTGTCTGGCGAGCGCACGCGCCCTACAGTGAAAATCTCTCAAAAAAAAAAAAAGAAAAGAAAAAAGAAAAACATGTCGTGACTTTTCCAACAACCCAGTATGTACTACATAGCTACCCACAATGAAGGTACAGAACATTTCTGTCATCCCCAAAAGTTGTTGGGCCCTTTTGCAGTCAGACTCCTTTCCCTTCATCTCTGGGCCATATTTTTGACTCTGTATAATTAGGTCTTATGGGACAAGCCCTTAACCAGGCGCCTTTGGTTTCCTTCCCAGTGTTGACCCAAATGATCAGAAAAAGACAGCTTGTTATGACATTGATGTGGAAGTGGATGATACCTTGAAGACCCAGATGAATTCTTTTCTGCTGTCCACTGCCAGCCAACAGGAGATTGCTACTTTAGACAACAAGGTAGGGATCTCTGCCTTGGCTGATACGGGTGCCACTAGCCCCCTATCACAGCTTCTAGGCCCCTTTTTGGTTCTTGGTATTCATTCAGACTATATTCCTCATATGTGCCAGGCACTGTGCTTGGTGCTGGTTGTGACCAGATGCTCATCAGTTCTAATTCTGGCTAGACTTTTTGATAGCATTGACCTCAGTTCTGATCTCTGCAATAGAGACCGTAATACCTATTTTTATAAGGTTGCAGTTATGTTAAATGAGACAGTGGGTAAAGACATGAGGATGTGTTAGGCCTATAAAAGCAATACACCATAATTCCTGCT